CCCAAAAAAAAAAAAAAAAAGAAGAAGAAAGCGGGGGAGAGAGAAAATACACCTCGCACATTCCATCTCTCCTTGTATACGTAGTACCCCATACAAATCTTCTACTGCTACCTACGTGCGTGAAAAAAAAAAAAAAAAAGGAATAGAACAAGAATTGGTCTTCATCGTCCACATTATGTGTGTACAAAGTGCACGTGTGGGTGTATAATACATACATATACATTATAAGCAGCAGTGGTTCTCTCTTGGAAAGTTCGGGATATGTATCAGAGACCGAGCTCGCGGGGGAGGGGCATCCAGCGTGAGCAACAGTGCACACGGGAGAGAGAGAGAGAGAGAGAGAGAGAGAGCAGAGAGAAAGAAAGAGAAGGCTGGACGAGGAGAGAAGAAAGAGGAGGAGGACGAGGGGTCAAGAGACTTCCCGAGAGCACCAGCCAGGCGACGACGAACTCGCGAACGAACCTCTCTCTGTTGCTTCCACACGCGTCACACGGGGGAACACTTTTCTTCCCCCCTTTTTATCTCGGGTCCCCGGGAGTACTGGGCAACTAATATTTTTTATATTGTTCTTGGCGCACTTAAATGGGGTTTGATGCTCCATTCGGAGTTTTGGGGCAAAAAAAAAAAGAAGAAAACTAAGAGAGGGCGCGCGCGAGAGAGAGATAAATAAAAATATTACGCCAGACAAAGGGAGAGCTTCCTTCCACAGTCTTTTTTTTGTTTTTGTTTTTGTTTTCTTTCCTCCAGACGTCGTGTTAAATTATTTTCCAATGGGCAAAGAGAGTCAAGCTGCGTGTATATACAAGAACGAGGGGGGGGGGGCTACCAACTGTACCTTTTCGTTTGGTTTATCGGCACACACTGTAGACAACTCTTGCGTCGTTCGTCAAAGCATTTATTATTATTGTTATTATCATTGCTATCTATTGCCAAGCAGTAGACGTGTTGTAACTGGTTGTAAGCTATACTTTAACACTGATGTGTGCTCCGAAACTCTCGCGGGTGTATGCATACACGTATAGCAGACAAATGATAAGAAAATATTATATATGCTGCACTTTTATAATATGCGCACCGTACAATTATAAGTTGTGTGTACTAACCTTCAACACTTGAGATCTCCGGAAACTCAGCTCGTCCTCGGCAGTCGCGGTGAAATCGTGCTTGGCTATCGCCTCCATGGCTACTTGTGTTTTTTTTTCTTTTTTTTTTTTTTTTTTTTGTGTGCCGATAAATATATATATCGAGTGATTTCTTTTTTTTCTTTTTTTATAGGTTAGGCGACACCGTGCTGCTACGGCACCACTGTCTCCGAGGACTCTTTATTTATTTTTTTTCCTCAACCCCCCTGCGATAAACACACGCGAGCACTTCAAGGGTACAATGAATTTTGCTCTGGGAGGCTCTTCTTCTGGAAGAGGCGCACTGCCTCCCCGCACTATTCGTGCATTTATGTACACACAGACGCGGGCACGGACACCCAGTATATGCGTGTGTCTGTGCGCCTACTGTAGTGTTACGCACATATACGCACTCGCGAACTCTCTCTCTCTCTCTCTTTTTTGTACACTTATTGTTTTTTAACAAAGTAAAAAGTCGCACTTTTTTGTAACAGAGTGTATGTATTAAGTGTTATTGCATAGACAACTAAAAAAAAAAAAAAAACAACAATGTAACGATTCACTATGCGAGGGAGAGAGATGGCTGATAGAGTTCCGCTCTCGTGTGACGACGTCCACGGGAGGAGAGACGACGGTGGCTACTAAGTACTACTGTGCTCTCTGTTGCCGCTGCATCTCCTCCTCCTTCTCCTCTCTTTCGTCAGCTTTTCGTGCTCGGCTCAGTGACGCCCTCTTTGCTCGCTCTCTTTTCCGCTTTTTCTTATGAGTATTACAATATTACACATCGTAGAACAATATGTTTTATTTGTTTTTTATTTAATTCAAATTTTACTTTTAAAAAACATTCAAAAAAATCAATAATTCGTCGTGTGATTTTTCCCTTAATTTTCATGTAAAATCATCAAACTTGTCCATCACATTTGTTTAGTGTTTCACGTGCACTTGTTATCACGTAATGTCAAATTGCTTATATTACCTAATGTAAATTGTCGCCCGCAGCATTTTTGTTCTCTTATCCGTAGAACAAAATGTTATACTTTGTTAACGCGTGGAGTGACCATCAGATTACGAGATGTTTATTAAAAAATGTAACTACATTCCGTTAAAAAACGGTTGAACGACAGCGTATATTTGAATTTTTGACAAATTCGAAATCGTCGTGCTATTCGATCGTTATCTAAGAGAGCTTTTAATGACGTAAGTAGAATAATGTAGTAAAAGTACACGCATGTTTCGGTGTACCTATAACGGGCACTTCGAGTACGATAAAGAAAATGATTAGTACATATACTTTTTTTTTAATCGATAAAATGCGTTTGTCTTTATCTTTATGAGCTGTTTGTCCAATGGAGTTTCTCGATGAAATTGTGACGTAAATTGTGTTTTGGAGATGATTAAATTATGCGTATGCATCGGCAGCTGAGATTAAGAACGAATCGTTTCGTTTCTAAAATTCAAAAACGTATCCTCCCATTTTTAAACTTCAAAAAAACATCTTAATGTTCTTTCGAGTTCTCAATAACTAATTTTAAAATAATAGTACATGTAACTTTTTTTTTCTTGTTTTCATTTGTATGCATCAGAGAATACGATTGTACTTTTTTAAAATTTATAAAATTAACTCTAAAACTTAGTTTTTACCAATAAACTAGAAACAAAAAATTATACAGTTTACTGAAATCCATACCAACCGTGCATCAGAAATTGAATGAAATCAAAAGAGAAAGCTTGAAAGTTCTCAGAGTTTCGAACAACTCCACAAAACGACAGTTACATTCGATAAGCTCGCGTTCCATTAGCCGTTATGAGTCATGATCATCGTTCCACATTCTCCAAACTTTTAAACTTAATTTCCATATTTTTTTCTAATCTACCAATGTTCAATAAAAAAAAAATCTAAAAAAGATCGTCTTTAATCACATACTCGTTGATTCAAACACGTCCAATACATAAACACACGCCATGACGATAAATTACGTGCAAGACAATGGTGTTTTTTAAATTTTTTTATAAAATGAATAATTTCCCAACGCACGTTTGATCGTCCCAAGTGCCGTGACAGTGCCACGTGACGATAATTGATACACTGCACACAGGACCCGCGTTTTACGGCTCGCTTCTATATGTATATTTCTTATATTATATGTTGTATACCCGCACTAGGGGCACTTACATATATGTATGTACTAACATAAATACACGGTGCACACGTGCACTCGTGGGTCTTTGAACGAAGAGAAGTACGAGCCGCTCTTGAGGTATAATATCGAACGATGGATGCACTCCTTGGGTGGTCCTCTGTTGTTGTTTATTTTTCCAAGCTAATTGGTGTGCTGCATTGAGCTTTGATTTGTTTTTTTTTTTTTTTTTCTTTTTACAGCAGCATTTATTTATTTATTTTTTTGTTTTTCATACAACATATTATTGATTTTATGCATCAGTTCGTCGATTGGATCATCATGTTTGTATACATAAATCGAAATTTGTTCTATAGAATTTGGTTGTAAAACAAAAACAAAATGCAGATAAAAAGTTATCCTGGCGCTGGTTTTGATCATTTGCTTTGTACACTTTGTGGATTTTTTTTCTCCCGTTAATTGCTGTGCAGGTTTTACGTAACAGCCAAATACATTCCCTGTATATTTTTTTTCGAGCAAGTACTCAATTTTTTTTTTTTTTTTTTTTTTTTTTTTTTTTTTTTTTTTTTTTTTTTTTT